CAAGGTACCACTGTAGTAGGTGAGGGGCAGGAGAAAAAGCAACCTTGATTTAATTTAATGTTATGTAATTAAAATTATGTTCATATAACTACTTGCCATTCATTTAAAAATACTCCTTCATCACATTAAATTTAACAATTTGGTGTTAATGTTTGGTAGGGATGAGAAACCACATGCAGTCCTAGGATCTCTGGATGTGCATCTCTTTGATAGATGTGTGAAAAAGACAATGATAGGGTTCCATCTCAAGATAACTAAAGAGATGAGTTGTCTGAGCACAAAGCAGATTGAATCAGATTAGGAATGTTAGCAAATGGGACAACTGCAATGCCTTCGTACCAGTTCATTATAATTAGCTGTTTTCTCATAGGTATAACCAAAAGGAAACAATATCATCTGAGAGTAAGAATGCATGGTCAGATAGGCCTTGATCGAAGAAAGGTGGCTACGGATGAATGATGCAACTGCTTTAGTTTCTGGTTCAGATTCTGGTGCAGATCCACAGTATATTTCTTCACAGGGATTTTTGGAAGCATCAACAGCTGTTGGTGGAAAGACACTTTAATTTCAGTTTATTACACATTTAAGTTGATCCTGGCTAGCAAAGAGAATAGTGAAAAAGGTTTGTTTGCTTGCCTTGAATCAAAACATTTTCTGCCGACCTGCGCTGATGAAGATATGACTTAGCATGTTAATTTGATTAATAGATAATAAACTGCCGGCCTTACTAGGTAGACCATATAGGAAACATAACCAGATGCGCTAATTCTACTTTATTGTAAAGCTACATTAACCGAATCTTGCAAGTCTGAAAGTACAATTCTCCCGCCATCTCCTTTATAGCCCAAGAAACTAGGGAGGGTCCCTTCTGAGCCTCTTGCCTTTCCTGCTATCCAGTTGCGGGCTATGTAGTCTCTTATCTGACCATTTCCTAGGCAGTGTCTCTTGGCCCTGTCTCCCAAGGTCTCCCAAAGTCTTTCGCACATACCACTACATAAACAGAACTATTGAAATTTGTTCAAATAACTCTTAGGGTTTGCCTGCGCAATTTTTTGCAAGTTTATTCAAAAGTAAGTCCCAATGTATTCAGTAGGGATTACTTCCAGTAAATGTCCATAGGATTACACTCTAGAGGTAGTTTAAATATTATACTAAAATATTACACTTGGAAATATTTTATTAGAACACTTGAAAGTATTTTAAGACATGGCAACTGAATAGGATACAATTTCCATACATTATTACATATATAACAGATAGAGGCTTATCTCTGTGTGTGCACATACATATACATGCATTTTATAGTGCTTAGTCATTATGTACAGTAATGCTTCAATATGAAACGATGCTTTTTTAAATGTGGATTTTTAGTCTTCAAGGAGTTCTAGTAATTGATATTTGATGCCCTATATCAGTGGAGGTAAAAGACTTTTTTAGAAAATGCAGCTGGTATCCAGATAAATAATGAGTGTAGTATAAAAATAAAACACTATCTTCATCAGCCAGAAAAGATTAAAAAAACAACAACACAAACACATCCAAGAAAAAAGCATGGAAAAATAAACAAAATAAAATAAAATAAAATAAAGGATTCCCCCCCCCCACTTAATTGGAAGCCTGACACTACAGTTTTGGTGGCAAGTTATATCACTAATTTGGGGTGACAAACTGCAATAGGAATCTGGGGAGTGTACAGTGGAATCATGTGAGTGACATGTGACATATGAGCTACTTTCCCTATTCTAGATATATAAGCTAAAATGGAAGAATAAAAGACCAGAGTTCTTTGTTTCTCACAGCAATTACGAAATGAGTGTAAACACTGGAGCAACCTTTCTAGGCCTGGTGCTACGGTAACAAATATTAAAAGGGTTTCTTTCATCCCTTAGGGCAGTGTTGTCCAAACTTGGCCACTTTAAGATGAGTGGACTTCAACTCCCAGAATTCGCCAGC